TCTACCTGTACTTCTCTGTCATGTCGTTCGTTGCCCTTGAGGCACATGCCACCCACGTGGTCGTTTGCAGACGCCATTATTCGGGTTTGTCCGAACTGCATTTCGACTCGGAGGGTTGTCACTGCCAGGTACTAGGTACTCGCAGATTAACCCGCCAAATTTTGTGAGATATGGCCCCAAATTAGCCAAAGCCCAAAATATAGATCTTCATGCGGGGTATTTGGAACATTTGCCTGGAGCACTGATGACATAATTATATACATGTATTCACAGAAGAACGCAAAGAGAAGACCAGAAATACGAGTTTCCAGTACCAGTGGCAGTGACAGAGCACGGGTGCGTCACTGCAGTATTTAAACACGACAAAAAAAACTTCAGACGGTAATACTTCATATAAAAATGATGGCGTCTCTGCGACCAACACAATTTATTGGATTTTCCATTAATCCATTTATTGAATTTTTACGCTTGTGGCCCAGATAGTTTCCTTTCCTACTCTGTTGAATTGATCTTTATTTCCTACCTGGCTCAAAACTACTATGCTTAAGGCTTTGAAACCAAGATTTTTGAAATTGTTTGAATTTTGTGTATGAAATAGCCCAATAACAGCCAGATAGCTAACCACCAGATTTTCTTGCCAACAACAAAACTAAGTTGGGCTGTTTATAGACCAACCTGGCAAGCTTGATTTTCGAGGAGTCATATAATGACATACGAATATATTCCAAGTTTTTACTAAGAATCGGACGTCAGGAATAAAATAATTATTTGTTTTTTTGTACAACTATACTCAACAAACAAGAAATAAAAACGGGGATAGCGTGCGTCATATTTGCGGAAAAGGGGTCCGTCAAATGGCGGTAAATATTTCTGTACTAAATTTGAACAGAGTGCGCACCTGTAATTCTATAACGGTGTTTTCCTTAACGAAGCTTGGCCAGCAAAATACTCCAGATCGCAAAAAATCACACCGTCATCAGTGCGAACGAGGGAAAGACGTAACTATAATGTTGTTAACGAACAAAAAAAAAAAAAAACGTGTCCGGAGGGATTTGGCATTTCACTTGCATATAGACCTTTTCATTCCAGTAGTTGCATGACCATCGGGTAGAGGGCGCTGGCACACTCGCCGCCACGAGGTTGCTTCAATTTGGTTGGTTTCGGTTTTAACGTGCACGCGATTGTGTTGCTATATCATGCCGTTTTCGCTTCTTTTGTGATACAAATTTATTTATTGTAGCACTCAGCGAATGGTACTGAGCCACTTGGAGAACCAGGAAGCGGTTTCAAGCCTAAATTACGAGCACATTCACAAACACCAAATAAAATAAATAAGTAAGGAGCAGGACAAGCTCCGCCTCCAGCCGCTCCAGCATGCGCTTGTTGTCCGCCTTCGTGCCTTTGGCTGCGCGTACACCGTGTGGTACGGCAGGTTGGTAGCTCGCGCTCAAGCCAGAGATTCTACTGCTCAACTTGTATTGCAACAAACTACAATGCATGAGCGCTTAGTAAAGAAGCAGGTCGACAGCATGATTAACTATCTCCTGAATCATAAAGAACAGATGAAAGGACAAGTTTATTGCTCGATGTTGTGTTTTTGTACGCCAAGTTTTTATGAACTTCGCACGGGAAACGTCTCCCATAATGACGTAGAGAATATAAAAAAAGTGGTATTGTCTCGGCCTGTTTTATTTGAAAAAAAAAATAACTTAGAAGAATATTTTTATGGACCAAACTAGGCCAACTAGAAAATTTCTTTAACTGAAGTACTCATTAACAACATTTCACAATATTGGCCTTATAAAATGGACTATTCGTTGTATGGGCATTTGCTTACGATGTTTTCAATCTATAAGATAGGTGAAAGCCCCTAAATGTAGTCTGAAATTTATCTTCCGTAAAATCTCCCAAATAAAATCAAAGGGCGCAAAAGAAGTGATATATGAAAAGTTTGGCTAAGTCGAGCGCCAGGAGCTGCGTACGCCATAGACCTATGTAGGAAGCTTTTTACTGATCTGAAATGATGCGCTTTGTAAATTTCGGCGTCGCCAGATACTGAAAGTAAATTCCTATTCGCCGTCGACAACGCTGCACTCGGGCGATTTTCATGCGGACAGGTTCTTTTCGGTGTCACATATTGTGTACCCCAGGCACTCTCAAGTTGTCTGCGACAGTTTCTTACGCGAGGAATCGCAATATTTTGTTGAAATTAAATAATTAAAATTAACTTTGTGGTTATCTTAAGGAAATCATTTAGGCAATTAAAAGGCATGGGACGGTATACAGTTTCTTGGAATTCATACATAAACCGATCAAGCGAATGTTTATATCGCAAAAACGATTAAGAAGGTGAACAGATGTAGGTGATATTGTAAACAAATTGTATGACGTTGACGTACCATTATTCCTAGCAAAAAAAAATCAAATTAAACGTTTGTATTCTATTTTGTCCACGAATTTCCCCCTGTGCCGTAATCAAAAGCAACTGTTCTCGATATGTTATATGTATACAAAACACGATGCCTTCAGGAAACACACGTGGCTATTTATGCTGAGTAATTTTGTCACCTTCCTTGAGATCCTAAATGCGCGATCATATATATACTTACCTTGTTCTTCCTATTGCGAATGTTCCGCCACTATTAGTAAGCAAACCTGAGTTCTCATATGTTTCTGACTTTTGAACCCTCGTGCTGTTTTAGAGTCATACATGTACTCAATGTGCGTGAGCGCTAACGCTGATTCATGTTCCCATATACCCTCTTAACACGTATCCGGCACACCGACGGTCAAAATAGTTAAAACTTGTTACAAAACTAACTGCAGAAGTTGTGCACATAATGTAATGCAATTACGTGGTAAGTACAGGGTGTCAAAAAAGAAAATTTACACGGTCTTTTTTACCGCAAAAATAAACTAGGCATCGCCGAACGCTCATTCTCCGCCCAAAGGTAGAGCTAGAAGTCACAACGAGATGCCAAAGTTTCAGTCCGATCCGATAACTCAATAAAAAGTTATAAGTGATTTTCTGAAAATTGCAATGGGAAAATGGCGGCCGACGGAGTTTTCGAACACATGGGGCTCTATGACACCAGAAACCGAAAACGGGCAAAAATGGGCTCCATTTTCCCATTGAAATTTTCAGAAAATCGCTTATAACTTTTGATTAACTTATCGGATCGGGATGAAACTTTGGCACCTAGTTGTGACCTCTAGCTCTACCTTTGGGCGGAGAGTGAGCGTTCGGCGATGCCTAGTTTATTTTTGCGATAAAAAAGACCGTGTAAATTTTCTTTTGTGACACCCTGTATAAGTATCAGACAACACTTTCCGGAGTAAGATAAAAAACGCGGGGAAACGCGATGAAAAACACGAATTTAACGCATCCGCCGAGGCGCGGAGTAGCGCGGAGGGGAGAGCGGAGCAACAAGTTGAAGCAACCTAATGGCCGCCGCATCACGTGATTCCAAGATGGCAGCGCCCATGTGGCGGAGGGTGAAAAGGTCTATACGCCCGTGTATATCACCAGATGATTCCGGTCAAGAAGTGTGGCAGAACCCATAATTTTTAAATAACAGTTTTCTGATCTAATCTAATCCACAAGTACACCGGATTTTTTTTTTTTTTTTTTTTGTCTTGGTAGGTGTAAAGTATTAGACGCATATAACCGATTTGGCGAGCGACGAAGCAAGCGACGACGACTGGAACCCGCTGTCGCTCGGCCGATCGCGCGACGAGGCAAAACGCATGAAAGCGACGGAAGCAGGCAATAGTGCGTTGAGCGACGTTTTCTAGAAATTAAAAAAAACCGAGCGACGCGACCAGCGACCGTGAAAAATCGCCGTCGCCTACCGCCGATTCTCGTCGCTTCTCGCCGTCGCTCGCTAAATCGCTAAACCGGACCAGGCGGATTTTTTCGGTCGCGCACCAGTCACCTAGCTGTGTTTGGAGATTTGTGTTTGTCCCTTGTTCCCCTTCTCCAGGCACTATTTTCGTCATGCGGTTCAGCCGTAATTGTACGTTGAGTATCGTCATCCGTCGTGATTATTTTTTTCTCGCTGTAAGCAGTGAGCGATAGGCAAGCTGTCAGTTCTGCTTGAAAGTGAAAGCATCGGCCTTTTTCCGTAGAGTTCATTGTTCCGTTTTGTCTCTTACACCCGCTTTGGCCAACTCCTTGTTTTTTTAATCTTATCTGGACGACGAAAGTGCACGGCGGGCGACGTCCACATAAGCGCTTCCAAGTTCCCATGAGGGCTATAAAAAAAAAAAAAAAGAAGAAAAAAAAAAAGAAACAGAGAATTACGACCGAGGCAACTAATTTTGCGGCGTCGGCGTCGAACCGCGACAGGTACTTACAAGCCCCGCAATATATCGGTGGCGGCAGCGAGTTGCGGAAGCTGGCCAGCGCTCCCGCCATCTGTCGGTAATACGAGGAAGTAGGCGGTGTTTCCCACGGTCGTCCCAGTGCCAGTGGGGAAGAAAACGGAAGAAAAATAAAATGCTTCCGTTAGAAAAGCTCGAAACACGCCCCCCCCCCCCCCCCCCCCCCTCCCCTCGTTTTGCCTTCCGACTTCACTGGCTCCGTAGAAATAAAAGGGGCACCGAATAATGTGGTTACTGAGATCGTCTCTTTGTGGTCATGACTCCACGGGCACTGCACATTCTAAAATGGCGCAGTTTTGAGTGATACGCGTTCGATTTTCCCATTAAAAGCTGGATCCAGGATCGCTACACGACCCGTTTTTCTGCGATTCGGCGCAGAAACCAGAGAGCTATGTCGGACTGCCCACGCGGTTATGTTTTAATTTTCATAGTGCGTAGAAGCTTGGCATTATCCTCACTCTGGTTTGTAAAAAAAAATTCCACCAGGCGGCGATACCCAAACTCCTCTCCGCGAATAACCCCAATGCTACTCTTCTCGATTTCGTTATCGTTGTTGCGTTGGTGTCCGTAAGTGCGTGTGTTTTCGGCGACTGACGTGCCCTCGTCTTCTCCCGCAGAGCGCAACTGCTCGGCGCTGGCGTGTCCGACAACGTCGAGCCGATCCTGCCCCGAGGACAGCTACGCCCTTCCTTCGCTCAGTTCGCCCAGAAGCTGCTGCCCCATCAGTCAGGGGTGAGTACACGGTCGAACCTTCTAACGTTGAACCGAAATTAGGAGCCTTTTGTTTTATGCCGTATAATCATAATATTGCCGCGCGCGCAGCTGGCCAAGTAGGCAGCGCGCGCGTGGCCTGACGGTTATCGCGCCCGCCACCCACGCGAAAAGCCATTTGTGACAATATTCTTCCCTTTCATCATCATCATAATCATCGCCATCATCATCGTATTCATCGTCCACGCTATCTATTCGTCCATGATCCGTTCATCGATCCCATAGAGTTATTATAACGTACGCTAGAGGTTCAACTGGCGCTAGTGTGCTGCTGCAAATTGAAGCAGACAGCAACCAGTCCGAAATTGACTTCCGGTAATGCATTTCTATGGGAAAAAGCGAGTGCATTTTCTCCCTGTGCTCGATTATAAGAGCAAATATCACGAATAATTTGTACGTACTAGGCACATTGGAACGTTTCTCAGTCACGCAGACGAAATAACTGGTCAGTTACAGCATTTTTATTTAAAATTCGTGGCATGAAAAACGGTGTTAAAACCGCTTCGTACGTGTATTTATGTGCACTGTCGGACACTGTTAGCGCGAACACGGCGTCGGCGCTTTCCAGCATGGGGGATGTACGTGCTAAAACGAACGAATTACATGTGAAAAACCAAGAGAGACGGCAAGAACTACGTAGTAACACTGGATAAGTAACTCCTTATCATGCAGACGATCAAAATAAATTGAAAGCCACGGAATATACTAGTAGTCAGATATGAAATAAATAAGTACTGCTTTATTCTTTCTGCTCCTGAATATGTGCGAAGATGCCTGTTCTGGGTTCAAATCATCAGCCGCACGCTCCAAATCTTTGCAAATAGGAAGAAGCAGAGAACAGGGGCCTGATGAAAACTGCCCGACATAGGAAATAATAAGAAAACACACCTTTCGTAGCCCATGTACTTTATTTTTTTAACAGATCGTCAAGATGCACGACGGAGTCATTTTCATATAGTGAGTGACAGAACGGGTATATTAGCAATATATAAGCGCCACCGGAATGCTAGCGAACCGTGAACGCACTCTACATTCCTTTCGATTGTTATTTTGCTTAGAATCCTCGCTCATTTTTACGTACCTGCCATGGAACAGAGGTTTGGGCCGGAAATATAGCGAAGTTTAACATCGTTCAGTAGTGAAGAAAAATGCTTTAACTAAAGCAATTACACATTCACCATATCAATAAAGGTACACACTATCCGGTACAACTGAAATAAGAAAAGTTATTCGTGTTATTTTCCGGCGAAGAGACAAAATGCACGCGCGTTTTCTCATAGGAATGAACAGGAGCACCGCAAAAGTGGACTGGTTGCTGTGTGCTTCAATATGCCTCCCGGAAGTCGCATAGACACTAGCGCCAGTTGAACCTCTAGCGTACATTATAATAGGGAGTTTTCGTAGATCGTTTTCGCCGTCCCGCAAGGCCCTCCGCAACCCGCTACGATAGCGGGAACTCCACAGTCAAGGCTATCGGCGCGCAGGCGCAGTAGCAACTTCTTCGCTGCGTAACGCTTAGCGGAGGGGGCAACGCGGTCTACGAAAACTCCCTAATAACTCTATGATCGATCCACCCATCTGAGCGTGGCGTACTTTAGCAGACGCTATGCTCACGGGTGTGATCAGCGTGGGAGCAATAGCAATAGCTGCAATATTACAAGACAAGGCCCCGCGGATGACGTCATCGTTAATGGGCCCCTGACCCGCTTCAAGCAGCGAACGCGCTGAAGCACGAAGAGAGTATACGCTGCAAAGCGGCAGAAGCGTGCGTCCACGGCGTCGCCGCGTGCTTAGCGTCGCGCCGATTCGGAGACGCTGCAAGACAGCTGGCGCAGCTGCGTGGATCCACTAGCAATGACGTTTAGGGGGGAGAAAGAAGTGCAGGCCTTAGTCTTCTAGGTGGGAATCTATCGGCGAGGGTAGCCCGCCGGCACGAGTCGGGAACACGACGCGACGTTCGCGAAGATGACACCAGACCTTCCTCGCACGGAGCACTCGCAAACTTCCTTCCGGCTCTCGTTCCCACGGGCGCCCGGATCGCGCTAAAAGGCGCCAACCGCCGACGGCAAGTGCGTGCCGCAGGTCCCGACACGTGACACCCGTGTGTCCTTCTTCCTTCCCCTCCTCCGCTTCTCGCATTCCCCTCTCTTTCGTCGTCGTCCGTCAACCCCCGTCGCGGTCGTACAACCGAAACTTTGCGCACCATCAGTCCGCTGGAATGAAACGAATATTTGAAAGGTACGCTACTATACTCCGTGTCACCTTATGTTGTACCGCAGCGAAGGCTAGAAGCGCGAAATCATAGCGTTGGCAGCTGCCCTTGGTGTACGAGAGCTTGTGCCGCCGAGATGTGCCCTAGAGCAAGGAGCTCGCGCTTGTAGACTTCCCTGCGGTACAACACAAGGTGAAACAGAGTATAGTATTACGAAGCTTGTAGCGTATCACGTAGCGACGTTTTGAGTGTCTTCGTTTCGTGAAGATATGCTTTTCCGTATTGCAATATTCGGCAGCCCATATCCTTTCGTCTGATATACACGGTCCTAGGACCTTCCAGGTATTAATGTAGGAACCAAGAAACGAGCTGCGTAGTTTATCTTTTTTTTTTTCTTGCCTCATAATAACAATTTTTTAAGGAAAGCTTAAAGGAAGAAAGTTTCCTCCGAGCAATATAACCCTAAGTACAGAGTGTATACCGTGGCTTTCATCAAAAGCATAATCTTACAGCTGCTGGCCACTGCTTGAGCCTCGACGATTTGCCGCAAGTTCTGCACGTTTTCCAAAGTTACAAGCGTTATACGAAGGACAAATGCCAAAAAAAAAAAGAAAAGAGGTAGGCTTATTTGTTTCCCTTCGCAAAAAGCAATACACGAAAAACAGTATACTAAATATATTCTTTCACAAAATGAAAAAAAAAAAAAAAAAGAAGAAAGAACACTTAAAGTTCTGACGATTTTCATCGCGTGTTTCTGAACCTACTTTCACGACTTTGTCTTTAAACCACCGGGCGCTGTGAATATCTGATTCGATCGAGAAGGCTGGCGAGCGAACCCAGCTTTCTGTCATAGCCGCCGTCGATTTCGCTGGAGTCGCCAGTTTTTCCCATAGCTTTCGTTATCCGAAGTATACGCTTTAAATATACATTTCGCGTATAGAACGACTCTCTAGTGACCAAAAAGTCCGCGTTTGCCCTCGCCAACTGTCTGGGCACTGCGATCGCGCGCGGAAACGAGATTCGCATGAGGCGTATGAACTATGAAGCGGCCGCGCCGACAGCAGCAGCGACACCGCAGCAGCGTTGTTACGTCAGATCCTCGCGTTGCTGCATACATTAGGGAGTTTTCGTAGACCGCGTTTCCCCCTCCGCCAAGCCCTCCGCAACGAAGAAGCCGCTACTGCGCCTGCGCGCCCATGGCCTTGGCTGTAGAGTTGCGGGTATCGTAGCGGGTTGCGGTGAGCTTTGCGGGACGACGAAAACGATCCAAGAAAACTCCCTATTTGCTGCTTTAGCGGTGGGGTAGCTTGCGCGTCGGGCCAGTCTGGCAACTATGGTTTACATTATACTAGACACGTATGTTTTGTATATACTATGCATAAACTAAAAATATACTGTAAATCTATACTTCTCGAAATGTGTCGAAACATTGAAAAAAAACAACGTATGTTAGTTATTTTACCAGGGGATTACGTGGAAGTTGGATCGCTTTCAAAAGGACCATTCAGAAGGCGGTCGATCGAGTCCCACCGAAATCACTCGGCGCCTCCACGTAAAATGCGTCGAAAAGAGCAAGAAACAACAGGCCCGCGGGTATAACGAACGCAGGGAAACGAGTCTTTGTCTTGGGTTAACGCAAAAGCCTACGTAACAAAAACAACATAAAAAAAAGGGGGGGGAGGGGGGGGAAGCAATTCCAAAGCTTGCGGCCCGCTTACAACGTCTGCACGGTGGCGTGGCGAACAGCTGTAGCGCACTCGTCGTATCGTTGTTATACATACATAACCCGAAAGAGCGCGGAAAGGCGCGGAATCCCGCGGTGCTGTACCCTCTGTTCCCGTCGAGCAACGGTCTCTTGAGCAGCCCCAGACACAAAAAAACAGACGCGGGGAGTCACTCGTAAAGATGTCCGCCAGTGGAGCGGCAGACGCAGCAGGTGATGCACGCGCACGAGCACGCGAAAGAAGACAGACAAGGCCTGCGTCGCGTGACGTCATCCTTAGTGGAACCCCGACCCGCGCCCCAAACGCAAAACACGCTGAAGTTCAACGAGAGTGAACGCCTTTTAGGAACTAAAGCCTGCGCGCACGCTCCGTGACGTCACTGTAGCCGAAAAGCGACAGTCGGCTGGGAGCCATGGGTTTTGATTGGCTTTGATTGGGTAGCTTTGAATAGTTGGTAGCTTTGAGTGGAAATATTATACGAATGTTCACTTGCCCGTGCGTGAGGACCACGTATAATTTATCCAATTAGTTTTTTTTTTTTTTTTTTTTTTTTTTTTTTAATATTAGAAGATTGCAAAACGACTCTTAAGTTCTACAGTTCGTCTATGAAGTTACGACGACTGAAAACACTCGGTGATAAATATTATCGAATATACACCCTTTCCACAATTGTTTAACTTATTATCCTTTGGAAGACCGAAGCGCTGCTTTGCAACCAGAAATATTTTCATTTGAAACATATTTTTGACGTCCATGCTTACAGCACAACTAGAACATATGTGAAATAGTATTTTACGCCTAGCGCGTTCCAGGTGGTTTCCTGAAAGATAAAATAAAAGTAACAGCACGCTCTCGGCCTCCCACCACAGGTTGGACGGCCACTTTTGTATTTGAAATGTGCTAAAATAAGCGACATCCCTCTAATTAAAAAGTCATTTGTTTTATAAAAAACAAAAATCTAGTTTTAATAGAGTGAAACAAGCAAATGCGCATAAAATGGGTCTGATTGACTACGTGTCAGAAGG